AACGGAGAATCCTAATTTTTTCGTCTAATTTGGTTTATTGTTCCTCACCAAGTTTCTGCATGAATCCTTCACCTCCACTTACGGTGAAGATCTAGCGACTAGTTGGTATATTTGGTCTGTGTGGATAACCTGTCAAGAACGAATAGTTTATGCCAAGAGGTAAAATTCCTCCATGCTTGATGGCGTGCGCGGTTTCGGCGACCGCGTTGCGACCGCACGCATCGACGACTCACAAATCACATCCCAACGTAGGGAACACTTGATTAGTCAATTGCCTGCTTTCGAACTTCTTAAAATTTCTTTTTGGAGCACGCTTTGCTCTCTAAATTGGCAAAAGCGATACACGTAAAACTGCTCAAAAAGAAGGGATTTTATTGACCCATAAAAGCCCCGCACGAATGAAATTTGAGTAATCCATGAAGCTTGACCTTAAAGAAGCTTCAAATTCACATTTCCGTGATTGGGAAAGCTTTTTTGCATCGGAAATACACCCACAAACCAAACTGTCGTAGGATACAGTGTGTAGTGCGCAACTACACGGAAACGTTTAAAAAACACGGTGACGTCATCCTATTTTTCGTCATAGGTGACCAGCCGCTTGACCGCAGAAAGGACTTGTGAAGCTGCCGTTTATATGTAAGTTTTCTAGACGCTATTTTATTTTATTGGATTTTTACACAGCAGATTCATTTCTAGTCTGCACGTACTTTGGCCTCTCCTCAAACGCAAATCTGTGGTCTGCCCCTGGTTCCTTCGCGGGTTTTACTCACTTCTTTCGTTTGTTTGTTGTGTTTCTCGGGTTACCTTCTTGGGAACTTGTCCATTTCGGGTGCGCCCAGAGTTTATATAAATTAAATAAATAATTCGGTGCAAAAGGCGCCCTTACCATGGAATTGAGTCTCGCTCAAAATAGCTCGCTCTTCATTCTTCAGACGACGATTTATTTATCGTTTAACCTGTTGTAAACATACTGGAACATATTCAACATGGTCAGCTCTTGGTGGTCATTGTGTAAGTCAATGCTCGAATAAGTTGCTCGACGATATGAATAAAAATCGGATGCGTGGCTCATACTGGAAAACCATTATCTTCAAATCTTACTTTGGTGCTTTTAAATCAAATAGGTAGTATTCTTCTCTACTATTACGTCATATCACTGCACTTTAATCTCTGGGAATCTTTGTTTACCACCAAAAAACTGGCACCTGACGAGTTTTGCAGAACAGGTTTTTGGAGGGTTTTGATTCGCGTTGTTTGACATATTTATCCATTAAACCCACCACGCAATGTGTTCGTTATCGTGCGTCACTTCTTTCAGCTTTGAAAGTGGAAGTATCAATAGAAACGGCAACTCCTTACAGCCTCTTTTGCCTTTTACACTTCCTTCTTTTACAGTTCATACTACTATTGCAAGACACTTCAAGAAATTCCTCATATTTCCATTTAGTAAGGCTTTAAAAGCAATTATGTTTATTTAAGGCAAAATAAATGCCATCGTACTCGGAACCGCCTACGCCAATCCATGAAGTCGATTACTATTGTACACAATTAGAGACGAGTTCATGTGATGACATTAACAACTTGAAACCGCTCGGAAAGGTGGGTTTCCAAACGCTTACTAATTTTTGTGACCAGTTTGAAACAGCCTTTGGTGAAAGTTGTCTGCTATGCTTTTAATTTATTTTTTATCTTATCTTGCATTGTTGTTTTTCAGTCGAGGGTTCTAGCCTCAGCACGTTATAACTGTTTAAAAACGAAACGAGAAGAAATCGCCAGGTTTCTGAAGGATCATGCCAATGAGAATCTTGAAGATTATATAAGTGAGCCACTTTCCCTGTTGTTTTTATTTTCTTCCCTCTTTCGATTAACATGCAGACCGGCCTGACTTCGCGATTGCTATCGCAAACGCTGTCGCGAGTTAAGTGTGTTATTATTGATCAGTATGGTTTGCACTGGACGCCCCGCCCCTCTCGCAATTGTAATCGCGAAGTTTGAACCTTTCTGAGCGGACGCATGCAGCATTTACCCAGCCAAGGACGCGACAGTTATCCTTCCAATTCTTTTTCTGTGATAGTCCCGTCTTTTTCAGCACATTTCGCATTTTTTGGAAAACAATTGAAATTTTGAATTTCTTATCCATGTATTTTGTTAAAGTGTGCCATACTTTTCATGGATCGTTTCAAAACAACATCAAAAGCAATATTGTTTCCATTTTGGTGCTACGTTGCGCTTTGGCTATGTGGAGACGCACACCTAAATAGTCCACCCTCTCCATCTGTGTTAGTATGGAAAGCTATTTAAGCAGTTACAGCTTTGACATTAAAATTTTGAAATTTCACATCGCTGTTGAGCACCCGGAGAAATGGTTCAATACGCGCTGTGGTTACTTTTATCCCAAATCTGCCACCACAAGTTGCATTCTGATGAAATAAAACCACCAACAACCTCCCTACCTGTGTAGCATTCTGGAGTTTGACCATGATTTTGTTGTGGTGGTGTTCAAATATCATGTTTCTCCTATTCTAGCCGATCTGAGATGTTTCGCGCGATCAAATGGAGGGCTTGTGCTCGACGAATATCGGGCTAAAATATGGCCAATACTAGCCCGACGCCTTGTCAAATCGGATGAAGAGGAAGAAATTGATTATGATTCCATTTCATCCGTTTCTGATTCCAATTCGGTGAAATCTTCATCGACTCAGGACACAACAGTGAGCTTATTTGCTGTTTGTCTATAAGGTTTTCCAACTTCTCCTATCGTTGTTCTGCTTAGCTCCTCTGTTTCAGCATGAAACAGATGATGAAGAAGAATTGCGATCTCATCCAGAGTGGAATCAGGTACTACCATGACTTCCCTTCCCCACACTAAAATTTTTTACACAGAGGATTTTTTAAGCCACTCAAAATTTAATTCCTAGGTTGCGATGGATGTGCACAGAACGCTGGCGAGATTCCCACCTAACATATCCGACGAAAAAAGATCAACCCTTCAGGATCAACTGATTCCGTTGATTGTTCGAGTTTTACGCGCAAATCCGCGGTTTCGATATTACCAAGGTGACTAATCTACTTATAGCCG